AAACTTTCATTTATGCATTCAACACATTTAGACTTAGTTACAAATTAAAAACCTTTAGAATCAAATATCTCCAATGAAAGAAGCTCTGGTGCTTTCTCTCTAAAGACTCACTTTACAAGAGAAACAACACACAAATACATCAATATCCATATTCAACACATTTTTAAATCATGAACACACGTCTCTGTTAAACACATACAAGACTACAAATACAATTGAACAGAGTAAAAGGCAATCAGAGTATAAGACTATATGTTTTAAATGATTATATGATCATTTAACACGACACAGAACAACTCATGAGAAGATGTTAAAGCACATCCCATCATGTTTGATTGACAGCTGATCTCTGTGCAGTGAAGACATGAGCAATCAGCTCTCAGCAACAATGATGGACACACGGTGAGTTTAAGAAGTAGAAGAGTTCCTCAAATGACTTCAGGGCTATTTCAGTTTACAAAACTCAGCTGTGGCTCCATAATTAACCCAAAGTCCAGCATGTAGCGGCTGAGTGAATGTGGTCTGCACTCTGTGGAGGAGAGTCATGGTTTCAGAGACGATGCTGTAGAAGGACAGAACACCTGCTCTGTGATCCAGGTACACTCCTACTCTGGAGGACGGAGGACCTGAGACGGGAGTGCTGATACTGTTGTAACGAAATGTATAACTGTTTTGGTTACAATCTAAGGACCAAGATTTGTCATTGAATCCAAATCGACATTCATTCCCTGCTCTGCTGATATTCTTGTATGCGACTGCTACAAAAACTCTTCTCACAAAAAATACTCCCGCTCTCCCCTCCACCTCCCAGTAACAACGTCCAGTCAGACTCTCTCTACTCAGGACCTGAGCACATCCATTGAATCTGTCTGGGTGACTAGAATAAGACTGTTGTTGTCCCATGTGTGTTGTTTTTCTGCTCCCCTCAGATAATACCAGCCATGTCTCTGCTGTGTTTGGATCCAGAGTGACTTCCTGTGAATATTGTAAGAACCCAGCTCTGGTGGTGGGCTCTGCTGCTGACAGTAAAACATCCACTTCAGTCGGTGAGACGTTTGTCCATTCTTCTCTCAGGACGTCCTGTAGTTTGTCTCTGACTGCTGAAAAGGCCGCCGTCACGTCCTCAAAGTAGCTCAGAGGATGGATGTTGATGCTGGATGAGTGTGTAGGTTCACTGAGGGCTGACAGTGAGGGGTAGCTGTGCAGAAACTGGTTGTGATCCTCTGTGTGAGACAGCAGCTTCAGCTCAGCGTCTCTTCTCTTCAGCTCAGAGATCTCCTGCTCCAGCTTCTCCTGAAGCTCTTTGACTCGACTCACTTCTCTCTTCTGCTGGGATCTGACCTGCTGCTTCACATCAGAGCTTCTTTTCTCCATGAGACGGATCAGCTCAGTGAACATCTTCTCACTGTCCTCCACTGCTTTATCAGCAGAGCCATTGACGGCCTCCACCTCCTGCTGAAGCAGCTTCACCTCCTTCTCTCTGTCCTGGATTCTCTGCTGGATGTTTAGTCGACTCCCCTCCAGCTCTCTCTGCCTCTCAGTCCTCTCTGCTGCAGCTAACACTGTGTCGTGGCCTTTGTGTTCGTCCACAGAGCAGATATAACAGATACACTGCTGATCAGTGCGGCAGAACAGCTTCATCACCTCGTCGTGACGAGAGCAGATGTTCTCCTGGAGCTTCTTGGAGGGCTCCACTAGCTTGTGTTTCTTTAATTGAGCTACGTCATAATGACGCTGGAGGTGTTTCTCACAGTAAGATACAAGACACATAAGACAGGACTTACAGGCTCTCAGTTTCCTCCCAGTGCAGACATCACAGGCCACATCTTCAGCTCCAGCATAGCAGAGATCAGCAGGAGCAGCTTGGAGTCCAGTCTTCTTCAGCTCCTCCACTAAAGCTGCTAACATGGTGTTTTTCAGCAGGACAGGCCTCGGTGTGAAGCTCTGCCTACACTGAGGGCAGCTGTGGATTAGCTCTCCATCCCAGTGGTGTTTAATACACTTCATGCAGTAGCTGTGTCCACAGGGAATAGTGACCGGATCCTTCAGTAGATCCAGACAGATCGCACAAGAGAAGGTTTCCCGGTCCAGCTGAACTCCTTTCTGCGCCATTTCACCTCTCAGTAGCAGCGAGTGTCTGAGTTTCACTTCCTGAGAGCTGAAACTATGTGAGCTGTGATCTGAACAGGATGTGTGTGTGCAGTGAATGTGGCCTATCAGCTCTTGTGCTTTACCCACATGTTGGTTACACCCCTCCTCCTCAGTGTGGATCTGAAGGGGAGGAGCCAGGAAGTACAGAGTGGAGCTGGCTGTGTCTGAGAGCAGGAAGAAGAGGGAGGGCTTATCAAACTCTGACTCACTCCAGGAGGAGGAGCAGACACTCTGACCTGTTTCCTCATTTACAAACGGAGCCTCGCTCACAACCTGCTCTACATTTGAAAACAGTCTTCAGCTGTAAAATATTTCTTTTAAATTCAGGCTTTTGTAGCACACAGCTCCACACTCATGGTGGCAGTGGTGTAAGAAGTACTCCGATATTCTACTAAAGCAAAAGTAGAAATACTACGGGGTAAAAATACTGTGTAACAAGTAAAAGTACAAAAGCATTGGTATCACAATATACTTAAAGTACCAAAAGTAAAAGTACTCCTTATGCATTATGGCCCTTTTCAGAATCGTATATATATATTGAGTTACTGGGTTACTATAATGATTATTGATGTGTTTTATCACAGTTAGTAAATGTAGAGATCATTTGAATAACTTGATGTCCTGCTGCTGGATATCTTATCCTATAAATATCTGTCAAAGTGTATTTAATCATTGATTTATATTTTTGAATGATCTACTAATCTATTGTTACATCCCAAATAAAGTGTAGGGGAAATGGAGACAGTAGCACACAACAACCAATAACAGTCAGGGTGAAGTTTATTTATTTACATCAAAGAAAATGCCAACAAATGTTCTTTAAGTGAGGAGACAAAGAAGATTGTGCCAAATTAAATAAATGAATATAACAGAACTCAAACAAAGAGCCCTCACTATCTGTTCTGTGAGGCCCCAGTTACACGGGAACGCAAACGAAAATGAACCGAATTCGATATCAAGCCTTCCGTCCACACGAGACCGCTCGACCCGCTGGAGACGCTGTAGTACATATGCCGGGCCTGTAAGTGGCGCTGTACTTCCGCCACAAAATACACCAAAAACAGCGAATAAGACCCCCCGAGCATGGTTGCCATGGTTGCCTGGTTGCCTTTCTGTTTATTCTCCGCGGTGGATTTAGCAACATGTAGTTCATGTAGTTCTCCATGTCCACTTGTTGCTGATGGTTGTGGTAGAGGAGCTGTAGGTTTTGCACTAACATCTGTAGCATGGTCAGTAGCGTCTGGAGCACGAAAGCAACCCTGTGATCCGCCATTGTTGTTGTTGTTGTTGTTGTTGGCGAAACACATCAGCAATGACGTGGGTGACGCGGGGGTGAGCAGGAGAGGTGGGGGAGGCGGGCTATGGCGTCATCGTTATCAGGAAATGATCGTATGGGGCGTACACACGGAGCCGTTTGGCCCCCCAGAGCGTTGCGTCCGCAGATCTACCCACCTTGGGAGCCGTTATCACAGGGCTATCGGATTCGGGCTCCGTGTGGGCGTTTCCGTGTTGGCCTCGTGTGGACGAACCTTAGCGGATTCCACTGATATCATCTCCGTGTGGACGGGGTCTATCAGAGTTTAACTGCGTGAGGAGAGGTAGAGTGTACCCCAAACTTACCCAAATCCTCCACTTCCCACCACACACACATTTAACAATACTAAAAACAAGAAGACAGAATAATGACCAAATCTCTCAGAGACCACAAAGAGGCTCTGGAGTCAGCAGCAGGTCTGAGAGAGCGAAGGCTTCCTGGATCGCCTCCTTTAATGACCGGCCCTGGCTACCTTCTTATATGGAATAAAACACTAATAGAAAAATAGAATGTCTTTGATAATTCACTATAACTAAGTTCTAAATGTGTCCTCTGTTAAGATGTTGAATTAACACCAGAATTGAATAAATTAATACATTATTTCTGATAGCAGTATGTGAAATTATATCTGTAGCTATATTATAAACTCTACTTGTATCTTATCAGTTAATTAGTTACAAAAATACATTTAACTCTTCCCTGGTTCTGGCAGAAACAGTTCTTTCTGAAATGTTTTGAGACATTTGGATGTATCCCTTTTAGTATGATAATTAGCCTGTTAGCATTATCCAGACAGCATTGTGTGACTTGTTGAACTGGTTTACCTGCATGTGTGGGTGTAGGCATTCCTTTTAGTGTGATAATAGGCTAAGCCAGACAGAATGAACACTTGTTCAACCTGCCTATCTATTCCTTCAGGTAATCTATTACAATATAATAAGCATATGTATTATTGATACATATTTATTAATGACTTTTTCCATTTCAGAATGCCAGCAGCAAAGAGAGGTCCTGGATTCAGTGTGCAGGATGTGATCCAAAAAGGAGAAAGTGATTTGAGATGGAATCAGAGGACACTGCTATGAGTGAAGAAGAGGCAGATGAAGATGCCTGTGGACAAAGAAAACCAACAACAATCCATCCCTCACATACTTATGTATATATAATAACTTGCTTTATATTTGGCTTTTGTTATTGTTCATTTGTAAATTCAACATGTATATTTTCTACTTTCTTGTTGATTTCTAGTCTTTTTTCATTTGTATTGTATGCCATGTCTTTTATGCTGCTGCAACACAACAATGTCCCAAATTGAGATCAATAAAGTTCTATCTTATCTCTTATCTGAACCCAATGGCCGCCCAGTCAGTGATTATGTGGACATCGAGCCCCAACCAAATAAACACACCAAGCCCCGTGACAGGTATCGCTGGCTGAACAAAGATTTGATCAGTCCCAATACTGATTTTTTCTTTTGAGTAATAAATCAGAATTCTTACTGAAATCTCAGATCTATGAAAACAAATCCTGAAGGTTTTCATGAAAATAAATAAAATATATTTGAACAAGACCAGGCCCAGAGAAGTGATATAATAAGGAAGCAGTCACACTGGGCTAATACACACTGCATGTAAACGACAAATGTGAAGACAAATCACAAATGTGACTCAGTAATGGCTAATACACAGTTACCGATGGCTCATTTGACCCCTACAGAATGTACTTCAATTGACAATATAAAATAGATTACAACGACAGATGATCAATACTCAAAGTCCCCGTCTGTATGGAATGCACCCTCGAAGAAATCTGATCAGAGTGAGACAGCTCTTCATCCTGAGCTGCAGAAAAGTCTCCTTTGCTTTCAGAAAAGTCCACTTTGAACGAGTGCTGCACCACTACTGGGCTCTTCACATCCTCCATGACAGGAGAGGAGAGGGGGTGAAGCTGCCATGGTGCTCCTGTGCACATGAGACAGTCCTCAGATTGAGAAGAAGGAGGGGGGGGGGGGCTCAGGTGCTGGAGGTCCAAACGTGCATCTGTTTGGCGATCTGCAGCACGAAGACGATGTCCGGCCGCTGGTCTGGCTCCGGGTTGATGCACATGCTGACCAGCTCCCTCAGCTGTAGGAAAGAAGGGCTTCATTAGCTTAAAGGAGACGGATATTCTGTAGTTTCTTGGTCAACAAATCCCACGAAAAGACACAACAACAATGTGGTAATCGGTCCTTTAGGTTCATTCATTTCCTACAGCCAAGTAACATTTGATCAAGGAGGAGAAATTGCATTTGTTGTCTGTAATAATGATTCCTCATCTACCTTCTCAGAGTGATGGTCCGGAGGGAGGGGGGGGTAATCACACTTCTCGATCTTCTGGCAGAGGGAGAGCAGGTTCATCTTGTCCCCATAAAACGGACTCTGCAGCGCTGCCATCTGCAGAAACAAGTGGAAGACAGGCTGGATGAGAGACATTCCTGATGAAGACTTTAAACCAACACGATGAAGAAGAGGTGATCGATCAGTCGCTGCTGACAGAGCGCAGACGTCCACTCTTTGGAGGATTGAAAAGGAGCTTGAAGACTGCAAGCTGCCCTGCATGTATTGTGACTTTCCTGGGACTGATGCTAGGCCCACTACATTTCATTATACCTGAAGAGCTCCCTTTCCATCCTCGTCTAAAGCAGGCCATACGTACTATATGTGAATATGTATTAACCTCAGCTGTAGTGTAAAAGGGTTAGGGTTCAAAGTGCTTGAATATCACGTTGGAAAAGGTGTAACAATCTTTAAAAAACAAGTAACAGTGTATGTGAGCTTACCTCATACAGAAGACATCCCAGAGACCAGATATCAGACTTCAAATTGTATCCGTTCTCGTGGATCCTCTCCGGCGACATGTAGTAAGGAGTCCCCACTGGGAGAAAGAGAGTTAAGATGTTCAGGAAATCAATTGATCATTGCTGTGAGACGATCACAGAAAACACACAGATTTAATGCTGTTTTTAAATGTATTCTGTATCGAATCCATGTATATGAATATGTATGTATGCATGTTCTGTATTTACATGTATGTTCGTTCCTTACCTAAGGAGTGTGCCGCCGTGGTTTTGGAGCTGAAGAAGCGTCCTAATCCCAGGTCACCCAGCTTCACCTCACCTGTGGCTGTGATGAACACGTTGGCTGGCTTTATATCTGACACACACACACACACACACACACACACACACACACACACACACACACACACACACACACACACACACACACACACACACACACACACACACACACACACACACACACACACACTGACATTTTACGGCAAAGCTGATAAAATCATTGCAGGCTGTAGAGAAATGTACACTATGTCAAGTACACATTCCTTCCTGTGTTTAAATATCGATTGTACAATAAGAACAAAAGTACGAATAAATAGATCAAGTTTTTAGCCGCTGATACCAATATGCAATTGCTGATGATCCATAATGAGGTTTTCTGATGGCTTTCATTCGAGCAGCTTGTACATTTATTGCGGCAAATATAAATCTGACCCCTCAGTGTCTAAGGCTCTCCACCAGGGGGCAGCGTAACAAAGGAGATCAATGCAAGTGCAATTAAAGAACCACAAATAGTTGTGTTGGTTTCTTGTCCTGTCAGAAACATACTAAGGTGAGGCCGTCCTTCAACCAGAAGAGTTCAAATGCTACCTCCTTTACGGGTTGGAAGACTCATCCCTGCACCACTCTTTTATGAAATGTGACGAGGGTGAGTAAATGGGTCAGGAGCTGCTTACCACGGTGCATTACTCTGCGTGCAACCCTGTCTCCTAGAAATTACGTTCCCACAAAACTAAACTGCATTCTCAAATACGTTTCGCAAGAAACGTCTTTTGTCCCACGTTACGTTTGTTCTGAACATATCTTAAATACGTTTATTTTCTACATATCTTCTAGAAACCTATTTTCTCTCACATGACGTTTGTTATGAACGTATCTTAAATACGTTTGCTTTCTACCTATATTTGCCATTTCTTTTCTAGCTTATAATAATGATAATAGTCATTTATTAATATCATTTTAGAGCAAACTTATTTTCGCGCTGGCTGGCGGCTGACTTTTCAGTTGACCAAATCCGTTATTATGCTGGTTAATGGTTAATAATCACAATATTGTTTGTAGTCGTTTCATACAGCATTCTCAATTACGTTTAACAAGAAACGTCTTTTGTCCCACGTTACGTTTGTTCTGAACATATCTTAAATACGTTTGCTTTCTACCTATCTTTGACATTTCTTTTCTAGCTTATAATAATGATAATAGTCATTTATTAATATCATTTTAGAGCACACATTTGAAATCGACGATCGGGCTTGATATCCTATGGTTAAATTAAAATCAGTAGGCGAGGCTGTAATTTCGCCAGCTGCGAGGCAGAGTTTTAACATGCCAAAAAGCTGCTGTGTCGTTTATTGCACCTCAAACACCTCAAACTTCCTCTAAGGACAGCAGAAGAGCTCTGTGGCTTCAGGCTTGATCGCCGTTCAAATGACAGCGTTGGTTTCCCCAAAAGTGGGTGGGGCTGTGACGTAGATTTTACTCTCATCTATTATTCAAAACCATTCTATTTAATCCAAACGTAAATTACATGCCAGTGTTTTATCTTTTTATTAAGCGATTTGTTTATGTTGTTTAACTCATAGATATATATAAACATATGTTTTTATATATATCTATGGTTTAATGCCGCGTTTCCACTACAGCGCGCAGCCCGGTTTAAGAGGGCTGTGACGTCAGCGGCCCGTTTGTGGTTGCGTTTCCACTTGGCCTAGTACCGGCCGGCTGGTCCTAATTCTCAGTTTTTCTGGCCTCATAAAATCGTGGGGCCAGGGCCAGAGGCAACCGGGCTGTGTTTGTGACGTCAACGCTCTCGGCTGCTGATTGGTCGGAGAGAATCGTCACAATCTGCGCGCGAGATAATCCATATTTACAAACAGCATTTTTGTTAACGGAGGAGCTACAACAATGGCAAAGAAAAGCACACCATGGTCGGTCGAGGAAGTGACGACGTCCATTATATTGCAGATGATAAGGTCCAGCGGGTGCTCGACGGGACAACTCGCAATATCAAAGTCTTTCAGGAGGTCTCTACACAGACACTGGACTCTCCAACGGCGTTACTGGAGTCTGCATGGTACGTTTTTGCTAACGCTGTGTTATTTGCTTGAAAGCTTTGTGTCCCTGCTTTGTGTCCCTGCTTTGTGTCCCTATCTGTTTTAAAGCTCACTTCTAACAAATAAGTCTATTTTATCCTTACATTTATGTTCGACAACCCCGATGGAGCCCCGAAGGCTAGCTAGGCAGATAGCATTAGCGAGAGCTATTGTTTGCTAACACCATATGTGCCATTGTTTACGTTCAGTTTGTCTTTTCTATAGTTGTTGTTGCTATTTATAGTATTGTGCTGCAGTAGTTTGTGGAATTTACAAGTCATGTTTCTGTTCTAGATGATTACATTGGGACTAGCGAGGAGGAACAGCGAGGAGGACACAACGTCCTCTGCATCAACAGCACAAACCGAGGAGGAGAGGATCTGGCCCTGCAGGAACGGCAACTGGCCCAGCAGAATCAATGCCATGTCTTATCTTATTGCTTGTTGATAAATAATTGCACCCACCAGCGATCGCACAGAAAGATGGCATCATCTAGGCGTCCCTCTGCAGTCAGAAATATCATAAACACCATCGTCCACAAAGCACTGTACAGGGGTTTATGGATTTAAGAGAATACTTATCACAGTGAAACCTTTATCATCTGTTGCAATTAAAGCAAATAAGAGAATAAATACTTGGTTAAATAATACATTTTAACTCTTTAGCAGGACAACTCTGCATACTGTTTGAAATTGAGTTTGCTAGCTTGAGGTCCTCCTCTAAAACATAACATTACATAATGGTATTAAGAATACATGATAAATACATGTAGAAAAATTACTCAATTGTAATACCCTCGTTGTGCTAGACTCAAACACATTGCTTATATATTTCAAAGAGAAGAGAACAAAAGAAAACACCTATACAAAGAGAGCGGTGCACAGCGCTTAATATTTACTTGCACTATATTTCTGTTGATCTGGGTTATTGTGTTGCACTGTTGGAGGAGCCTGTGACCTAAGATGTTCATTGTCATAACTACACTAGCTATGTTCGTATGACAAAATAAAAAACCTTGAACCTTGAGGCTGTGTCTTTCAGACAAACCATCATAATCATATTATTTTATGCTGTGGATACTTTAGCCTCCATCCATGTTAACAATTTTTTACACTTGCATTTATGAATATAGTTCTGTTGTGTTTTACACTTTTGTATTTATGTTTATAGTTTGCTTTGATATTTGCTTAATTTATTAGATTATTATTATGGGGGCAGTACTGGTGCTTGAAATTCAAATATTTACTAAATAGTCAATTCTGATAACATTTTTTTGGTTTAAATAATTTGACAAACACATGTATGTGAAAAAGAAAAGATGTATTTATGTTCAATACAATACAATGAATATTTAGGTATTACACGTAGGTTTTCCTCAGGCATCCTGAAGTTCTCCACCCACTGAGTGTGTGAAAGATGGAACAATCACATTCCACCACTCGGTAGCTCGGTCGGTAACTTCTGAAATACACAAACAAAAGCATACATATTTTAATACGTAAAAGTGGTAGCTACAATTAATTAAATACTTGAAATACTTTGGTCGTATAGGGAGCGTGAGCCTAAACACATTGCTAGTTAGCGAACGTTAGCTTACCAAGTAGCATTGTAGTTAGTAGTGATTCGAGTCGTCCTGTAGTCTCTGCGGCGTAGGAGGACTGCCCGAACTCTCGCGTCAGCTTCTTCTATACCTCGTCTTGCTATACGTCGCCTCTTTCGAAACAACTCTTGTCTATTTCTTGTGATAATAAACCACACAGCAAAAAACAAGCAAACGATCGCTTTCACATCTCCATTGTTGTGTCGCATTGAAGATGACGTCACGGCAGTTTTAAGCAGCGTCGCTCCGCCTACACTGTTACTATAGATACTGACCCGGTTCCTAAACTGTAATGGAAACGCGCCCAAAGTGAGCTGGTCCTAACGAGGCCGGGCGCGGCCAAAGGAGGCCGAGCGGGGCCGAGCGAGGCTGTGTAGTGGAAACGCGGCATAACTGGGAATGTTTTCACATTGAACCAGAAGTACGTCACTTCACTTTGTCTTCTTCGTCCCTTTTACGTTCCAGACAATGCATGGCTCAGCGTAACAGACTGAACAGCGACCCCAGGTGTCTACATTGGAATTACATCTTCATTACTGAAGGAAAAATACTTTACCTTGTGTTTGTTAACTGGGTTTTTAATGCAGTTGGCTTTTCTTAATGGTTACAATATTGCTATGAGTTACAGTATATATCTGAAGCAAATTATGTTTCTGAAGATGTGTAGTCAATTCCACCCTTCAATGTAGCATAAATGTGAACTCTCATTACAGGAACAATACCGGAAACAGACGTAGGAAATAGTGATGTGTCGGTCGCGAACGAGCCGATTCTTTTGAACGGCTCTTTGGTACGAACGAGGGGAACCGAGTCGTACTTGGTGAGAGCCGTTCTTTTTATCGTTCAATCGTTGGTCCGCACTCACTGCCTGTCAAAATCCACTCGCCTTTTAAAAAGCTTGATTTTGTTCCCTAAACGTATTCTGTGAAGACCCGCCCCTACTCTGATTGGTAGGTTTCAGCACGAGGAGTGAGATGGGGTGGGTCTTAACGGAATACACGCGAGAGAGAAGCCAAGCCATAACAAGTGGTGGTATAGGACAGATAGACGTCCCACGTGTTTTGCGGATAGATAATGAGCCAAACGCGAAAACGCAGCAGCATTTGGATGCACTTTAAACAAAATCCAGGCAGTGATAAAGCGGAGTGCACCATTTGTAAAGGAAAAATATCATTTAAAGCAGGGTCAACCAATAATCTTCATCGCCACTTAAAAACACAGCATCCGACGGTGCAAGTGGCCGAGCTGAGACAACAAGGTTCCAATAATAATGACGGAGACGGCGCCAGTGCTTCTGCTGAAACCCCGACCACATCAAGTCAGTCATCATCTGAAACTACCAATAGGCCTACATTAGTGCCTGGCCAGGCACCAAGCTCTCATAGAACCACTGGCACAATACCTAAAACAAAACAGACTCATCTCCACAGTTATGTAGCACCTGTCATAACCCCAATGAGACAAGGTAAGATAGATGAAGAGCTTGTTAAAATGATTGCAACTGACTTCCAGCCATTCAGTATTGTGGAAGACAAAGGATTCAAGCGATACAGCAATGCTCTCAACCCTTCCTACAGTCTTCCATCAAGGAAGACAGTATCCCAGACAATTGCAAACATGTATCAGAGAGAAGCAGCATCACTGAAGGAAAAGGTGTCTAAACTGTCAGCAGTTTGCTTAACCGTAGACTGTTGGACATCAAGGGCTACAACCTCATTTATGGCAGTAACATGCCACTTCATTGAAGATTTCAAGATGTCCTCCTGCCTATTGGACTGTTTTGAATTTAGTGAACGGCACACAGCAGACAATCTGGCCAAAAAGCTTCTCAATGTTGCAAAAGATTGGAAAGTGGAAGGTAAAGTGGTTTGCTGCGTAACTGACAATGCTGCTAACATTACAAAGGCTATACAAATAGCAAAATGGACCCACCTTCCATGCATGGCACATACTATCAATTTGATTGCCAGAGATTCCCTCAAAGGCCTAAAACCCATTC